AGGTACGGGAAACACTCGAGCGTAAGTAAGCAATTATAACTTGAATTTTTTGATTAGTAGTGGATTATTTGCTGCTAGCTCTCCCTGTGGATGTAGGTACCGATACGTTTGACCGAATCACGTAAATCTTGGGTGTCCTTTATGTTCATCGTTATATCTCTGGTAATTTTGCATTAGACTTAATTTGCAAGATCCGAGTTAGCTTCCGCATTGGTTAATATTACAACGGGCATCAATAGTAGGTATTTGCCGAGACACCCACGGCGTGGTGGTCGTTCGGTTCGTGAAGAAGACACTAGCAGCTTCGGTCGAGATTGATGAAGCCTTAGTTGTCCGGGAAGCCCTGTTGCTTTTGACTGAGAAATGAGAACTGCTGCTGAAACACGACGATCTGCGGAGGGAGGAAGTAAGTATTTTGCAGTTAGAGTTGCAAAGCGATGACTTATCTCTTGTAGAGCTCTTATCAGGCCAATACCGAAGCCCGTGGGCCATCCACCTTTCAATTGAAGAATGCTTGGGCCTTTTGGCTCAGTTAAGAGGAGTGGCCATCACCTATTGTCCAGCGGAAGCAGATCATACTGCCGATTGGATTGCAAAAGTCGATAGGCTAAGTCCCTTCCTTCTAATTGACGTTCTAAGCCATCCCAACTCCATTGGGATTTGTTATGTCTAGACATTAATAGTTATTGTTTTTTTTTTATTTTTTGGTAAGGATAATAGTTATTGTTTTTATAGTCTTATACTAAATGAAAATAATTTGTTTTGACAAAAATAAAAATAAAAACCATCGTGATGCATTGCACTCATATTATCCAATTCCAGCTCGATATTTTGTCACTACAAGAATTACTACGCTAAGAATAATGGACACAAACTCCCCACGAATTTGGTAGAGGTGATTGGTTCTATGCATAGGTTTTAGATTTTAAGGCACTAATATTTTTCCTGGACTTTTCAGGTTTGTAACTCATATCTAATATATCTATCTCTTTGTTTAAACAATTTAGAAACGGTTCGGTTTCCAATTCAACCATCCGGTTGCTCAATCTTAAAATTTGGAACTTTCACAAAAATTTGGAACTTTCATAAATGTACAAAGATTTGGTGCATTTATTAGGCAACCAAACTTTAGTGTAGGTTGCCAAAACCCACGGTCCTCGTATACCATAACCCAAAAGGACTGTTGGTTGGTGCATGTTCTGCGTGACCATGAGAAAAAGGTAACTACAGCTTTCACACTTTCACGGGTGTTTCTTAGTACTTACGTACACCGTTGTGCTTTCCATCCGTGGTGTCACTTATTATATTTCTTTGGATTTACATGAAAAAAAATATTTTCTTCACATTAGAACTCTTAAAATTAGAATCGGCAACCAATACCATGTCAAGTGATCACCTATATAAATGTACATAGGTCGTGATCTAAGGAGTTTTTGGGTAATCTAACAAAACAAATCATTGATAGAACAAAAAGTCTGCTTGTGGTTTTTATCTGTGTTATCACTTGGGATCAGTTTGTTTTGCGGAAAATAAAAAATTTAAAAAACATATTGTTGAAAATGATTGGTTTTATTGCTTGTAATAAGTAGCCAACAAAAAACATTTTCATTATCGACAACAACTCATATTTATACTTTATTTTTCGCAAAATAAACGGACCCTTATTATATTATTATTTTTGGATTTACATAAGAAAATAGCGACAGTGTAATCTTTTTTTCACACAAGGGCTCTTAAAATTAAGATTTGTGTCCATTATCACGTCAGGTGATCGCCTATTTCTGTGCTGTATGACCTCGCAAGGTTTCCGTTTATTTTTATGTAGATAGCGATTGAGATCAAGCTTTTTGTGCGTCTGTTTGGGCTAATTTGCCTATATATATCAAATAATAATGAAGGGAAGTAAAGAACACCAAATCAGCAGAAAGTAGTCTTATTAAGTCGAGGATAGCATGAGCACGAAATTGGAATTATACAATCAAATGGGCATTAAATACTAAATTCTCTATGATATAACAAAAACCACGGAATTCATATCGCAATATATTTGAAAATCAAACCTGATCTATTTGGTTAAATGCCTTACAGCAAAAAGGAAATTTTTTTGAAAAAGAAGATAAATGCATCAGGATCGAGATTCATTTTCAGGCTATGACCCTGGAGACGCACGCTAAGCAGTGCGGGCTTTTGCAGTCTCTTCTTTTATCCATTCATTATAAGCCTCCTCCTTAAATCATTATTCACTCTAATTTTCCTGTAAAAGTTTCGTATAGGCTGTCTATTGGTGATGAAGAGGATGTAATCAATGACTCGTTTAAGAGAATTTGTGTTTTTTTAGTGGAGCCCAGTATAGATTTCACGGATTCTTGAAATATGATTGACTTGACCTAGAAGAGCTAATCTATGCGGGACTTACTCGTTTTTTGTTATTACTACGCATTAGGGTATGCCTAGTAACTTGTGGGACCTCGACTTCTAGACCGATTTGGCAATTTAATGACACCTTAAACAAGATTAGAGATGAAATTTATTTTTATTGGATGTCGAATGTAATCCATTTGTTTAAAGACCTATCTGTACCTTTTCCCACTACTTATAGTATGTTTGGTTCCAATAATGACTATTGCATTACACGTTTTCTGTATTGCCCGTTATAATGTATGCTTGCTCTATGCACAACTGGAATATTTATTAAATCACCCCTTTGCAACAGCTATTCCAGCCTAAAAGATCGCCGCCTGTTTTCCCAACTCACTCTACCAAGCTTAGGCTATGTTGAAATCTATATTAATTATAACTAAATTTATTATGTTATTATATAAAAATGACAGCATTTATAATTATTTTGACTCGATCACATATTACATGATTAATAATATAGTTGGTCATAATCGTAGGAGAGCACTCGGTGAGTTAGGTTGGCCCCATTTCACAAATTATGCTATCTTAATAATAACTAACTATTTTATTGAAAAAAATTCGTATATGATGTTAGCATAAGATTAGTTGCTAATTATCAGGTATAGTAATCGACATATTTGTAATTGACTATTATATTATACTTAATAAAATAATTATCTCAATTACTAATATTTATTTTAAGATAATCACATGTTATGTGCTTAATTTAATTATTATTTTAAACATAAAAAGTGAATAAATATTTGATGTAACAAATTACATTATGTGATAATGTTTATGGGGTATTAAATTCATGATTGACTATTAAAGTGATTATTATGATATTTTTTTTATCTGAGTTTAGGGATTCATATGCTAATCCTCCCTTATTACATATGCTATTCAAGAAACCAAACAGTGAAATACATACCGTCTTACTTGAACTAAATAGCATAATAGTTATTACAGCTTTATTACACCATAAATTAATAGCATATTACAGTCTTATTCCATCCTTGCAACAACCAGGCTGTTTATATACGAACTTAGTACACTAGCCTTACTACACCTAGCAACACTCATCCACTTTATCAGTCATCACGACTCGTAATTTTCTTTCATTATGTCAACAAATTAATAACAACTATCCAACCTCACGTTCATATAGGAACTATCTACCTTCATCTTCCTGATCCTAGATAGGAATTTTTCGTGCGGCAAACCAGTCTACTGCACGCGATCCTCATTCGAGCGTTCGATTTCATAACAGTTAATCGCAATTCAAAACACAGAGGACAATGACTATTTCGCTTTCTTGCTATCCAAATTTCAAGGTAGGCACTAGATACGTATATTTTTCAAATTGCCCTCGTCGTGGGGAACTGAAGTTGTCGATCGCCATTGGCTGCTGCCAAAGGCAGAAGTTTCTCTCCAACGAATGCGGATTGCGTCCCTACCGTGCCAAGTCGCAAACAATACAAGTATCGAAATCAAGAGCAAGTGAGAACAGGAACAGAAAGGACTGGTAAGACAAATACGGCCGTGTCGTTTTCGACACGGTTGCTCGGCTTTAGGGTTTACGCGTTTTAATCTTTGCGTAGACCAATGAATGATCGCCGCTATCAGGAGTCTCATGTTGGAATTCTTCGTGCGTTTCCAACCTCCAACATTAATAAATAAATAAAAAAATCAATTGCAGAACAAAAACTTAGAGGACATCATCCAATCACAAGTACCGTTCAAAAGCCAGTGGTATAAATAAAATAAAAAAAATCCAAATCTCCCCTGGATCACGATAAATGGATGTGACATCTTGGTCTCCATTCTATATTTGTTAAAAAAACACACTAGAAAGTCTCGATAATTTTAGCATTGACCATATGGATCAAGGAAAAAAAAGCCATTCTTTCTTTTGCCCTTTCACGTTTTTTTTTCTCTAATCAAGTCCTTATACAGTTAATTTGTCTAATCAAGTTTTTCTACATTTATTAATTTTCTAATCAAGTCCCTTCGACAACAAATCCTACCAAGTTTAACGGACGTCGGGCGACGTTCAAATATGACATGGATAAAATATGCAGATGCCTGTGCTGATGTATGTGAAATAATTTAGTAAATGTAGGCAACAACGGAATATGATATGAATAAAATTTAATCAATGTGTCGTTCACGCTAGAAAATTTTGTGTCCACGCCTGCGAAGTCTTTGAAGGCCCTTCCGGTTGAATTTGGCTGGATTTGGTATCAGATGGACTTCATTAGAAAATTTGTCAAAGTAGAAAGATTTGATTAGATAAATTGAAAGTGCAAATATTTGATTAAAAAGGTGAAAGTAGATCAACAAAAGTACAGAGACTTGAAAAAAATGCTTGAAAGTAAAGTGACGAAAACAGAAGTTTCTTTAAAATTTATCGCCATTTATTGATATGATCAACTTAGATCGGGATAATACGACTTGTCGAAGATTTCAAAATATATTTATCCCATCGCTCTTTGTTGTTGTGATCAAAATTAGATCGAAGAGAATACGACTTTTAGTAGGTTTAAAAGTCTCCTCCACCCAAAAAGAAATCTTCCTCCTACATATAAAACGCGGCACACAGGAAACAAAAAAAATTGCAAAAAGAAAGCAACACTCCCTATTCTCAACAATGGCCGAAAGTGGCAGCTCAAGTTCAATTCCGAAGCCGAGGTGTTCTCTGGGCACCATGGATGAGGTGAGGCTGATCTTTAACAAGTATGACGTGAATGGCGACGGCAAAATCTCCTGCGACGAGCTGAGGCAAACCCTGTGCACGCTCGGCCCGACGGCAGCCACCCCTGAGGAGGCTAGGCGCATGCTGTCGGAGATCGACAGGGACGGGGACGGCTTCATCGACCTCAATGAGTTCGCCGAGTTCTTCACGCGGGGGCCGGGCGGCGGCGGCAGCGACGAGGAGCAGCAGGAGCTCAAGGAGGCGTTCGACATATACGACCTCGACAAGAGCGGGCGGATCTCAGCGAAGGAGCTGCACGCGGTGATGAAGAAGCTCGGGGAGAAGTGCTCGCTGAGCGATTGCCGGAGGATGATCAGCTCCGTCGACAGGGACGGAGACGGCGAGGTCAATTTCAACGAGTTCAAGGCCATGATGACAAGGTCAAGCCTTTCTGATTCTAACAAGTGATCGTAACTCGAATGCATGGACATGGAGCAAACCCTTTCTGTCCTATTTCTTCTTCAGTCTTATTTTTTAGTCATTAGCTATTCTGTGGGAGAGAATATTCGCAAATCTCCTCGTGATTGATTTGGGTTTAGGTGCTGATTTGTTCTCTCTGTCGTTTTTGCTGTTTGCCTTATGGGAATGGGATTGGGACGAGCAGCAAATCCAAGTAGAGAGGTGGTTGATAAGTAGGCTTTGGTATGAACAGTGTTAGATTGGTTTTTGACCTTGATTAGGGATTCTGGTTGCGGGGGTACAAAAATTTGTCTCATCGTTCGTAGTGTAGTGTGAATATTAGACTTTTTGTTTTGTATGAATAAACGCATTAAAAGTCTTAAAACTTGTCACGAAAGTGCAATTACGTCCTAAAATTTTCAAAAATGCAATTAAGTCCTAAAATTTGAAACGAAAGTGCAATCGAGTCCTGAAATTGAAAGTTTTACTACTCGATTGCGTTTTCGCAATAAGTTTTAGAATTTAATTATACTTTTTGGAAGTTTTAGGATTAAATTGTATTTTCATGACAACTTTTAGGACTTTTAATGTACTTATCCCTTATTATGTACATTGGCGATATAAAAGAATAATTACACGGGCATGATTTAGGCAAGAGATCTTAGAAGATTTCTAATATCTCCATATTTAAACTCTTATTTCGCTTTTCGTATAGGTATGATGATCAAGAAAATAGAAGATATCAAGTATCTTGTCATATTCGAACTTTTATTTCGCTTTTCGAAGAGAATTAATGATAAGAGATAATGTGGAGAAAAGTTTTACACTCTCAAATTCGAATAGATCTGCACATGGTCCAAGTTATCACTGAAATTTATGTTCAGCATTAAAAATCATAAAAAAAAACAATGGAGATGGATATGGATACCAGTTCTCAATGTTTACTTTCTGTTCAAGTAAGCATTTATCCAATTCGCGTGTACTTGTTTCTTGTGAGACATGTTAACCAAGAAGTCTATTTAATTTATTACGCCTCGTTCCCCTTTAGCCTTTCGTTTGTTGGTGTTCCTCAATGACAGGAAGAGGGGCAAAATAGGTCATTGACCCATATTTTAAGTCATACTTGATGGATTCGGTAGTATACGTATTGTTTGAAATAATAAAATATAATTCGGAACGGGTCTAACAAAGGAAAACCCGGTATTGATGTTGTGGGTCTGAAAAGAACCTCAACCCACTCCCACGAACACCATCCAGGTCCTTCACGGCCCTCCTCTTCTTCTAGTAGTTATGTGCGAAGTTCTCCCTTCTGAGTTTGCGCTGGTGGGGGCTGAGGAGGAGAAGAGCATCAGCAGAGCGAGATGAAGCAGAAGACGAATCGTCATTGGAGGGTGCAACTTCGAACCTTTGGCAACGTCGGCCACAGCGGTGGTTGTCACTGGTGACCTCGCCCAAAGTTGCTGTCGATCTCGTTGCTTGCCAGTCACCAATGTCCTTGGCCCGAAGATGCAGCAGTCTCTCTCTCTCTCTCTCTCTCTCTCTCTCTCTCTCTCTCTCTCTCTCTCTCTCTCTCTCTCTCTCTCTCTCTGTGTACTCTTCAGCTTTGATCGAAACAGTTGCTTGACAGTTCGGTCAAGCTCGGCCTCCATTGACAGCGAGCCGTGTCCTCACGGTGAGTTAGTGATCAAGCGTGACATAGAGACCTCAAGCTCGTGATCTTGGTTGGGCTTAAGCACGATACACACACATAATGACCAATTCCAGAAATAGACGTGATGGGTTGGTGACGAGATGACGAAATTTCATGTTTGACGTCGAAAGTTCAAAATTGTCCCACTTTTGATTGAAACAACGGTGGCAAAGCACGAATTTTGTCGTCTAAGTTTAACTCAAGGGGACAACAACTCTGATTTTGTCGTTTTAGGGTATGATTTAAGACGACAAACTTAAGAATTTGTGGCCTTGGGTCGATGCAGAGGTGACAAACTAAACAATTTATTGCTTCTAGTTAGTTGAACCTAAGACGACAAAAATTGTGTTTTATCGCCTATGGGTAACTTAAGACGATGAAAGTTAATATTTTTCGTCTTAAGGTGTTTTTTTTTTTGTAGTATTTCAAATATGAGAAAATTTGGTAATTTGCATCCTCCGAAAAAAGAGTTGGTAATTTCGTCAAAGTTTCAATAAGATATCAACAACTAACTGAGAAATCATATTATCGCTAATTTTTATTTTTCCACCAACAATTTTTTACACTTACCAACTATGCTAGAAATCTACCAACAGGGAAAAAGATCCATTTTTTTTTTATCAACGGAACAACATAATTGTCCAGGTTAATTATAATAGGCTTCAGTTTTGGGATTTAGGGTTTCCACACCAATTTCTAGCGATCAAATCTCTCTAGAATTTAATGGTTTACAGCAAGGCTCTGTTTCTTTTGTACTAAAATTGGGATAAATGGAAATTACTTTTTGGATAAACGGAGGATGCTTGTTGAAATAAATTTGTATAGTGCGTCTAATCTCTCCATATTTTATGCCAACCCCAAAAGATCGTTCAACCTTTATTTCAATAAAATCCATGCCAGCGCATCGCACGGATTGGCTTATGAAAATATAATCAAAATGGAGCATGAAACATTTTAGCGTAAAGACAACATCATTTTAACCTATTATAGCTGTGAAAGGTTCACATAAAACTACATTATCAAAGTACAAAGCAACTAATAAGCATGAAAAAACAAATTCACAAACATAATATAAAACGGTTTGTAGTTGGACTATCTTTGAAATGCATATGTACAATAGAAACTTTTGTCTAGCAACTGATATGAAAAAAACTTGATCTTATGTTATTATGCTAAAAAAATTATTTGTTATATACAATTGAGTTAGAATTAAATAGCAAAATAATGAAGAGAGAGAAAAATAATGGTGGGTAAATGCAAAACGCACCAAAATCTTTTCTTGGGATGAAGAGAGTCTAATTCTAGTTGTTAGAAAGCCTACCCAAAACCTTAAGCTGTTAGATGAAGGCGTAATTTAATATTTAATTACTCTAACACTAGCAATATAAAATCCGGGCACACTTAGAGGCAATATTAAGATTTTTTTAATAATAAATTCATATAAATATAGATGGTAATGCGATATTATTATATAATAGACCAAACAATCATTTAGGAAGGTCAACATATACAAACTGTAATGTGATCCCACAAAACTTTTTTCAGAATAAATCAAATCACGCTTTAATTTATTGGGTTAATACCACGAAAAATCTTAAACTGGTACACTTGTGACACATTTACCCCAAACTATTTTTTTGACCATAAAAAACCCCAAACTTGTACACCTGTGACAATTTTACCCTAAACTATTTTTTTGACCACCAAAAACCCCAAACTGGTATACCTGTGACAATTTTACCCTGAACTATTTTTTTGACCACCAAAAACCCTAAACTGGTACACCTGTGATAATTTTACCCCAAACATACCACAAAAAACCCTAAACCGGTACACATGTGACAATTTTACCCCGAACTAATTTTTAATATTATTTTTTTTATTTTTTTGAATTTTTTCTTTTTTCTTTTCTTTTCTTTTCTTTTTTTCCTTCACCTTCAACCTACGGCCGGTCGCCGTCCGGCCGACGGCGGAAGCCGCGAGGGCCGCCCTCGCCGACGTTAGCGAGCGACCCTTGCGTGCGTCGGGCGAGGGCGGCCCTGCCTAGGCTCAGGCGAGGGCATCGGGCGAGGGCCGCCACAGCCGGATCGGGCGAGGGCGGCCCTCGCCGTCTGGCGAGGGCGGCCCTCGCTTCACATCGGGCGGGGCCGACCTCGCTGCGTCGGCGAGGCGGCCCCTCGCTGCGTCGGCGAGGTCGCCCTTGCCTCAGGCGGCGAGGACGGCCCTCGCCCGGCCGGCGAGGGCGGCCCTCGCCGGCTTCCGCCTCTTGCCGGTCGCCGGACCGGCAACCAGCCAGGGTTTGAAGATGAAAAAAAAAAAGAAAAGAAAAGAATAAAAAATAAATAAAAATTCGAAAAAAATAAAAAATAATATTAAAATTTTAATTCAGGGTAAAATTGTCACATATGTACCAGTTTGGGGTTTTTTGTGGTAAGTTCAGGTAAAATTGTCACAGTGTACTTAGCTTGGGGTTTTTGGTGGTCAAAAAAATAGTTCGAGTAAAATTATCACAGCAAGGTATGCAGGTTGAGGTTTTTTATGGTCAAAAAAATAGTTTGGGGTAAATGTGTCACAAGTGTACCAGTTTAGGATTTTTCGTGGTATTAACCCTAATTTATTTATTTATATATTTTTTTGGTCGTAAACTGATTAACTTTTATTTAATTTGAAAACGTAGAGCCCATAAACTAGGCTTCCTTACAAAGTAAATCCAACAAGATTTGGGGAGGGGAAGAAATCCAGTCCCTCGGCAGAGTTTTATGGCGCTGAGCTTTTGCGGCCCAGTCCGCTATGGAGTTGGCTTCACGATGGTAATGGGTGATACGCAACTGTGAGAAGCTAGAGGACAGATCAAGGCATTGGGAGATAATTGCACGTGCATCCCATGGAATAAGGTCTGAGTTTTCCATAGCTTTAACCAAAGTCAGATTGTCTGACTCTAACTCAAGGGAATAGTGTCTTCGAGGGACTAAGAACTTTAGGGTTTCCAAGAGAGCCACAAATTCCGCTTGAGAGGCTGAGGAGACATGGATTTGTTTTGCAAAGCCATCCACAAGTGTCCCCTCTGAGTTTCGAACGATGCAAGCGATTGCGCCTTCCATGGAGCTTTCGACGAAGGATCCATCAATATTGACCTTTAAAGATCCGCCCTTTGGGGGTTTCCAGATCTCAGAAGAGGTGGGTGCGTCAAGGTCCGATTTTTGCTTTGAATTCCATCTCCTGTAATTGCCGAGAGAAGTTAGAGCTCCTTGTAGTGCTTGAACTGGGTCTGGGAGTTTCTTTCAAACGATAAAGGTGTTGCGGGAAGTCCAAATAAACCAGAAGATGGTTGCGACAAGTTCCAAAGAAGGTAGGTTTCCTGTACTTTTAAGAAATTGCGTTAGCCATGTCTCTATTCTGCTTAACCCTTGGGAAGATACCTGAATGTTTAGGGATGGTTGAGCCCATATTTCTCTTGTCCAGGGACAAAGAAGAAGGAGATGCTCTGTGGATTCCACCTGGTCTTTACACAGTGAGCATAATGGATCTGGTACTATTTTTCGCTTGTGTAAGTTCTCCATTGTGGGTAGACTATTCTGACATGCATTCCATAGAAAGAACTTAATTTTAGGGATGGTTTCCATTTTCCAGATCTTATTCCACAAAGCTCGAGGAGCCGAGAAAGATGAGGAGGCCTTTGGAGCTTTTCGGATATTCTCAGTAAGTCTTATGTTGTTGTAGCCACTCTTTACTGAGTAATTTCCTGTTGATGAATATGTCCACACCAGTTTGTCTTGAATGGAGTGAGTGCTTAGAGGAATAGCGAGAATTTCTTTCACTGTTTCCTCTTCGAACATATTTCGAAGAAGAGGTTCATTCCAGGAATTTTCTTCGTTGTTTATAAGCTCTACTACCTTTTGTGGGTCATTTTCATTCGATGGCCCTCCAATTACTCCTCTTTTCAACCATCTGTCCTCTCTGATACTGATTGCTTCTCCTGTTCCCACTGTCCACATTGAAGATTCTGAGATTGAGTCTCTTCCCAATAGTAAGCTTCGCCAGCCCTAAGAGGGTCTATGCCCTTTCCCAGCATGCTAGAAACTCTTGTTTGGGAAGTAAATCCCTTTAAAAATTTGACCCCATAAAGAGGACGATTGATGCATTAATCTCCATGCTTGCTTTCCTAAGAAAGCCTTGTTAACAGAAAGTAAATCTTTGAATCCCATGCCTCCATTGTCTTTCCTTTGTTTCAAGAATTCCCAACTCTTCCAATGAATTCCAGAGTGAGATTCTCTGTTTTTCCACCAAAATGCTGCCATTCTCTTTTCAATCACTTTACATATGGAAACAGGAATCTTGAAAATTGACATTGCATATTGAGGAAGAGCCTGCACTACCGTTTTTAGTAAATTCTCCTTCCCCGCTTTAGAAATTAAAGATTCCTTCTAACCTTCCAGTTTTTTGTTAACTCGGCCAAGTATCCAGGCAAACATATTCTTCTTAGACTCTCCCCAATCCGACGGAATTCCAAGGTATTTTCCTGTTTTATCCAGTTTAGGGACACGCAGTTCATAAGCCATATTTGCTCTTAAGGTCTGTGGGCACCCTGAGCTAAAAAATATTCCTGATTTGTTTAGGTTTATCTCCTGTCCAGTAGCAAAACAATACTGATGCAGAACATCTGATACAGATTGGCATTCTTGAATTCTCCCATCCAAAAAGAAGATGGAGTCATCCGCAAATAGAAGATGTGATATGGTAGGGCAATAGGAGTTAAGTTTAATACCCTTTATACTGCCATCCTTTACTGCTTTCTTCATCATAAGAGATAAAACATTTGCTACCAATATAAAGAGATAAAGGGATAATGGATCACCTTGCCTAGGTCCTCTGGAAGGCAGGTCCTCTGGAAGGCTGGAAGTAAGGGAGTGGATTCCCATTAAATTTAACACTGAATGAGACTGAAGATACACATTGCATAACCCATGTAATCCACTTTTCATCAAAGCCCAGTTTTCTTAAGCATGCCTCCAAGAAATCCCATTCTACTCTGTCATATGCCTTTTTCATATCAAGTTTCAAGACCGCCTGAAATTTTTTCCTCCTCTTCTTGACTCTTAGTTGATGCAACACTTCCTGCACTATCATGATATTGTCCTGGATAAGTCTCCCACTTACGAATGCACTTTGCTCTTGAGCGATTAAATTCGATAACCAAGGTTTGAGTCGATTCACCATTACCTTGGATATGATTTTGTAGGCAAAATTGCACAAACTAATGGGACGGAATTGATCAAGAGTTTCGGGGTTAGGAACTTTTGGAACTAGTGTAATGTGGGTTCTATTTAAATCAGGATTCAATTTTCCTGATATGAAAAAAATTTTAACTGCTGCAAATACTTCAAACTGAAGAGACTCCCAGTGGAACTGAAAAAATTTCCCATTAAAACCATCTGGTCCAGGGGCACTTAGAGGACTTAGTTGGAAAACTGCATGCTTGACTTCTTCCAAAGTGACCTCAGCGGTTAGTGATGCATTCATATCTTCATGTACCATTGTTGGAATGACGTCTAAAACCGGAACAAAATTTCTGTTACCCACTGAACGATATAGGCTTTTAAAATAATCTGTCGTTTGTTGGTGTAAGAGCCTTTCATTGCGAATCCAAGACCCCTCTTCTGTTTTGAGCATAAAAATTCTATTCCGTAGTCTCCTCTGTATAGTGGTTGCATGGAAGAATTTCGTATTTTTGTCTCCCCATTTCATCCACTTGATTCTTGAGCGCATTCCCCAATACATTTCCTCTTGCCTCCATAGAGATTCTATCTCCTGTTTCAATGCACCTTCTTTGTTTCTATCTGAATGAGTTCTAGTAGAGTTGGTTATATCTGTCAGTTCCTTTTTTAAAGCATCAATTCTCCGAGAACAATTCGCAAATCTTTTTCCGCTCCATCTTTTCAGTTTAGCAGATACTACATGAAGTTTTCTTGGAAAGTCTGCTACTTGTTCAGGGATTGAGGACCAGGCTTCTTTAACTACATGGACAAAATCATCAGCTTTGAACCAGTAATCTTCTACCCTGAATATTCTGTTCTTTTTAACTGAATCTGCTGTTATGGTTAATAGAAGTGGGCTGTGGTCCGAACCAATTGCTGGAAAAGCATAGGCTACTGCCTCTGGATAAAGGACTCTCCATTCTATAGTACTCAGAACCCTAACTTTTTCTTTACAAAATTGTCCCCTTCTTGTTATTTGGATCAAGTGAAAGCACATCCCTTGCATTCAATGTCCATTAACGCACATGAATTCAAAAACTCTCTGAAAGCAAACATACGATAATTTTCAGCTTTTCTCTTCCCTTCCTTCTCCCAATGATTAAGAATTTCATTAAAATCTCCCATACAGAGCCAAGGCAAGGTATTAAGGGAGCTTATCTGGATAAGCTTGGTCCAAAGTAAGTTCCTCTCTCGATAATCAGTAGGGGCATGCACTAGTGTAACCCTCATCTGCTATTGGTCTTCCTGAAATTCACATATTAAGTCCAGAAACTCAGCTGTAGCCATTCCTATATTAACCTTTACTTGATCTTCCCATAAAATAGCTAACCCTCCTCCAATTCCTTCTGGATTAACAACAAAGTGATTCTGGAAATTGAGACGCTTCTTTACTCGTTTTACTACTGCTTCCTGATTCTTAGTTTCCATTAGGAAAACTAAGTTGGGCTTCTCTTGAACCACCATGGCTCTAATATTTTGGACTGTCAAGGGAGTGCCCAGACCTTGATAGTTCCAACTTAGGATCTTCATTTGTTACCCGGTGGCTTATTAAGGCTAGCCACCAAAGCCCATTTTGTTGCTTCCTCAGTCGCAAGGATTGGAGTGTCTAGAAGTTGGGACTCATCCAACAATAAAGAGCTGAATTTCCTCTGCCTTTTTGCTATGGGGGTTTTTGGCCCCTAGCCAATCTTTATGCCACTACTATTAGGACCAAGGGACAGCTTTACCTTGGGAGAAATCTGCTTTTGAGTAGGGCCAGTGATCATCTTAATCTCCTTTCTAGTTTCTTTTTTCCTTTTCCCCTGAATAGGTACTTGGTCTACTTCAAATAGCATATTCTCAGGTCTATCTTCCTCTTCAGCAGCTTCCATTCATGATGATTGAGCAATTTCCTGAGGAGTAATTTGGTCTTGATGCACTAGGGTTTCAGGAATTATTTCTTCAATAAGATATTCTATTGTCTCCTTCCTATAGAAAACTTTCCAAAAGGGACTGTTCTCCTGGGATTCAGCTCTCAGCCAGCTACCAAAGCTACTTCCCAGGTCAGTTGTGAATCTGTCTTCTTCATATGGGATTTCTTCGCAGTAATTTGCATAATGACCTATTTTCCCACATGAATAGCAAAAGTGGGGAAGCCTTTCATATTTAAAGTCCAGCCAAATTTTCTTGCCCTCAAAGGTAGCAATAGTACCTACAGCTAGAGCTTGATGTAAGTCTAACTCCACTTTAACCTTGGCTATTCTTTGAGCTGCAGGGCCACGAGCATCTATTCTCACCTCTTTCACCTGGCCTGCTGAGCTAACTAGAGATTCTACTACTTCCGAGGAAAACCATCTGATTGGCAAACCAAGTATTCGAATCCAGAAGGCACATTTCTCAAACTTATAACAGTGGGGAGGAGTATTTGGTTCACAATCATGAAGTAGTAGTAAGTGATTTGAAAAAGACCAAGGGCCTCCCTCTAGCACCCTAGATCTTTCCAATTCGTTCCTGAAGGTGAAACTGAATATATTATGCCCCCGAGGTGTGATTTCCACATTTTCATTTTTCCATGCTCGTTTCATTGCCGTTTGAAAGGCCTGGAAATTGATACTAGGATTTTGGTATGGCTGACCCATTAAGATAGTCTGGCATTCCTCTATTTTCTCAGTTGATACAATTCCTGAGATGTCTTTATTTGAGAGTAACGTATCTAGTTTTCTGCAGAGAAGAGCCAATCGAGCTGAGGCCTCATCATCATCTTCCATTTCTGAAAGATTGGTACCTTGATAATCGATTTGAAGGCAAATATAGAAATGGGGAAGAGGGCAGCGGCTAGAGATTTTTGGGAAGTGAAGTCAAAACCCTAAATGAAAAAAAAAAAGGGGAGAGAAGAAATGAAGCACCAAAAGCTGCGTGGGAATTCATGGTGATGATTGAGCAAACCAGTGGGGATTTTGTTAGGGTTTGTTAGTTGAGGGAGCCATTGCTACACAGACGGTAGAGGAGAGCTACACAGTCGGTAGAGGAGAGCTGACACTTTAAGGAAATAAGGAAAAACTAAATTGGTAAATAAGAAATACCGTGTAAAGATATTGATCCATATCTTTAGATATAATCTAAAATTGTCGTAAAAAATAAGACGGGTGGTTTATGAAATAGTTGACAATCATTTTGAATTTAAATGTAGAAGAGAAGAGGATCATCAATTATTTGTCAAGCATCTTGATTAATGTAAATCCCAAGCTTGTCTATCCATGACTATGTGTGTTCATACTGCACTTAATTGTAGGGTTAACACTACAAAAAAACTGGATTTTTGCCACGAAAAAATTTTCGTCGCAAATTTGTAACAAATTTTCCAACGAAAAGTAAAATTCGTCGGAAATTAATGACGAAAAATTTTTCATCGCAAAATTCGTTGGAAATTTCCAACGAAAAATTTTTCGTCGCAAAATTCATTGGAAATTAGCGACGAAAAATTTTTCGTTGGAAATTTCCAACGAATTTTGCGACGAATTCAAAAAAACCCGGTATTGTTCGGAATTTTTTAAATTCGTGGGAAAATTCGTTGGAAGTTTCCAACGAATTTTCCCCACGAATTTCAATTTTCCAGGCAATTATTTTAGTGTGTACAATTTTCGTTGCAAAATTTGTTGGAAATTAGCGACGAAAAATTTTTTGTTGGAAATTTCCAACGAATTTTGCGATGAATTCAAAAAAACCCGGTATTGTTCGGCATTTTTTAAATTCGTGGGAAAATTCGTTGGAAATTTCCAACGAATTTTCCCACGAATTTCAATTTTCCAGGCAATTATTTTAGTGTGTACAATTTTCGTTGCAAAATTCGTGGGAAATTTCCCACGAATTTTGCAACGAAAACCCTACTCCTTCCTTATTCAATATTTTCGCGCTCATTATTCCCGCAACGATTCTCAATTTCCACACTCTCTCTCTCTCTCTCTCTCTCTCTCTCTCTCTCTCTCTCTCTCTCTCTCTCTCTCTCTCTCTCTCTCTCTCTCTCTCTCTCTCTCTCTCTCTCTCTCTCTCTCTCATGATCGCGCCTCCACTGCTCCACGCGTGCACGTCTTGGTCGGCGCACTCGGCGAGGCACTTTGCTCCACCGCCGGCCCAAGCTCCCCGCCGCTGCCGAGCATCCGGCCGATGAAGGGGGCGGTGTCCGTCGCGTTCGCGGCGGCGAGGCCGAGCGTGACCGCCGTGAGCCAGGCCCTCGCCATGGCGGGCGAGCTTGCCCAGATTTGGGTGAGTTCTGGGCGACCTCGAGCTCGCCGGCAACGAGGCTGGGCCTCGCCGGCCATGGCGAGGGCCGAGCTCGCCATGGCTGGCGAGCTCGAGGTCGCCCAGAACGCTCGCCATGGCCTGCAAGCTCGAGGTCGCCCAGATCTGGGCGACCTCGAGCTCACCGGCGATGAGGCTGGCCCTCGCCGGTCATGGCGAGGGCCGAGGTCGCCCAGAACTCGCCCAGATCTCGGCGAGCTCGAGCTCGCCCAGATCTGGGCGACCTCGAGCTCGCCGGCGACGAGGCTGGCCCTCGCCCGCACGATTTTTGTCACGACGAAACTAATTTTGCCACGATTTTTCGACCAAAAAAAAATTTCGTTGGATTTCCAAATTTTTCGTTGGATAAAAGTTGTTTTTTTGTAGTGTTTCCAACGAATTTAGCCACGAATTTTCCAACGAAAAAAATTTCGTCGCAAATTTCCAACGAAAATTGAAATTTTTCGTTGGAAAAATTTGCGACGAAGAATTACCGACGAATTTTTTTTTGTTGGAAATTCGTTTTCCAACGAATTTTTCCCAATTTTTCGTTGGAAATTTCGTTGGAAAAAAGATGTTTTTTTGTAGTGTAATATCACAGAAAGCCCCAAATTGGTACACATGTGACAAATTTACCAAAAATTAATTTTTTGACTACAAAAAACCCCAAACTGGTAAACATGTGACAAATATGCAGTTTTCGTTAATTTTTACTATCAATTTACTGAACTAGATGATACGTGACAGTTAACAAGTGTATTAGTTTAAGGTTTTACCTTCCGTTTGTCACAAGTGTACCCATTTGCAATTTTTCGTAATAATAATCCAATTTAATAGAAATTAATAGAGGATAAAATTGTATGAAATGTGCCAGTTTGGGATTTTTGGTAGTCAAAAAATTTAGTTTTGGATAAATTTATTATAGGTATACCAGTTTGGGGTTTTTTGTGGTATTAACCCCTTAAATGTATGCATGGGTTTGTCATGGGATCTTTAGGTAAAGGTTTGAGATTAAAACAGCTATTGGGTTTGCTTAATTTTTTTCTTAGATTTCGTTTGCTTCGCGAAAAATTAATGATTTCGAAAGCATTTTAAAAAAAAATGATCGCTTATATCACTTGCAAAAATGAATTAATGAAAAGTATTTTCATCATCCATGAAAATATTCAAAAATAAATTGTTTTCAGTAATAAAAATATTTTTCATTAACTAATTATTTCAAGCAAATACAAGCGATCATTTTTAGAAAAATAATTTCCAAATTATTTATTTTCCACGAACAAATGGATCCCTTGGTAAGTAAGAAAAAAATAGCAAAATGCAAAGACCCATTCTTAACCCGTATTTGATGGGGTGGGTTGTTATATAAGATAGTTATATTTAGTAAATTGTCATAAATGGATTTAGAATGGTAAAACTCAAAATAATATGAGTGTTAAATGAGTCAACAACTTTCATAGACCCAACCCACCTCTATGACTCTTTCTTCACTCTCTCTCATCCTAACTCGATTTTGTGTTCGCTCGCTCTATGCTCTCACCTCATTTTGGGCATAAGTTTTCTAGATTTGGTTTAATACGAAAGTATTTTGGCAATATAGATCGGGTTGGATATGGGTTGGGTCAAGTATGAGTCAGTAGATTTATATTACATGTAATTACGTCAAAACGGGTTAAATGAGTGAATTTGGGTAAGATCATTTTCGATCTTGCGCTCTTTCACTCTATGCTCTCACTTCATTTTGGGTATGAGTTTTTATAGATTATGTTAAATACGAAAGTGTTTTAGCAATATGGGTCGAGTTGGGTATGAGTGTTAAATGAGTCAACAACTTTCATAGACCCAACCCACCTCTATAACTCTTTCTTCACTCTTTCTCATCCTAACTCGATTTTGTGCTCGCTCGCTCGATGCTCTCACCTCATTTTGGGCATAAGTTTTCTAGATTTGGTTTAATACGAAAGTGTTTTGGCAATATAAATCGAGTTGGATATGAGTTGGGTCAAGTACGAGTCACTAGATTTATATTATATGTAATTGCGTCAAAACGCGTTAAATGAGTCAATTTGGGTCGGACCATTTTCGATCTTGCGCTCTCTCACTCTATGCTCTCACTTCATTTTGGGTATGAGTTTTTATAGATTATGTTAAATACGAAAGCGTTTTAGCAATATAGATCGAGTTGAGTATGGGTTCGATTAGCTAAGAGTTATTAAATTTAAATTGCATGAAATTGGGTAAATACAGGTTAAATGAATCAATTTGGATCAGACTATTTTCGATTCGACCCACTCGTTTGACGGATCTAGCAATATACATGCGCTAAGCTGTAGTGTGCATCTTTGCTCCGTCTAAGTAGGGTGCTTAAGGCAACACGTTTCTCTTTGTTGCTGAGCCCCACACGTTTGTCCATCGGAGGAAGAAACTCATTCCTCCTAAATTGATCTTTGCGTTGAGAGATGAGATGCGCCAACTCTCTTCATCTTTGGAGTCTTGAGAGAGAGAGAGAGAGACCTTCAGAATTAGAGTAACCATCTCCAGCAATTGTGGAGGTTTCTTAAAGGATTCTCACAACCACCAGAAGTTTACAAATAGGTTTATTATGTGGCAAAAGAGTATATTCCGTGAATATCCTTTCCAATTGAGGCAGTATGAGAATCGAAATGCTGTCCTGACCTTTCGAATTGTACGGACAACAAGTGTACCTATGCATCCAAGTTGGCTTAAGTCCATAATTTTCATGTCTAGACCACTTTCTGGCTCGGAAGGTTTAAATTCAAGACCTCTTATTTTGAGACTATGTGAGATTTTGTAGAATCACTGTCAATTATTTTAAAAATCTAAGTTATTAGATGAATAAGCCAGCAAATTTGCAAATCTCCCAAAGAGGCCGTGCCACAGGAAAGTACAGTTTCATTTTTGCTTGTTTACTTAGAGAAGATACGAAATTGGTTGTCGATAAAGAACGTTAATGATTAGGTCTATGGAGATTTGTTAAGCATTTCAATAAAGAAATATAGCGAAGTTACTATATACTGACTGTGATCGTGATATTCACAACCAACGCTTTCGGATTGAAAATTTCTTCCATTAAATACGTTTACGGCACTTATTAGCTATGTATATATTTGGTAAAAACAATTTTTGCCTTCTAAAAACTTCAGTTGTCCCTGGTCCTTGAATGAATAAAAAACGCGCATTGATCACAACCAGCTTCCCAATTCAGTATAGTAAAATATTGATTCTTGAAACTAATCAACGTGGTTCCAAATTATGAAAAGATGAAACGATATTATGCGGGAAAGATCATAGATTCACTTCAATGGCAGGAGGGAAAAAAAATTCTACAACGAATTTCATGGTTTTTACACGATATACATATTGAAGCAGCTCAGAACACAGCTGCAAAAAAGCCTACAAGAACTGCCAAGCTCAGTGGCATTTGTTACCTAACATAAATCAATCAATAAACTACAAGGGCACTACAAGGGCAACTTCAGCCCAGGTACTCATGAAAGCCACCAACATGTATAGAAGCTTTGCTCCTAATAGTACTGGCAAAGTCAGAAGCTATTTCTATGTTAAAATTGAGTCTTACAGACGGTCGGTCCAAGCAACACTGTCCGGCGAAGAACATAAACTGCCCTGTGGTCCAATGAATACCAAGCCACATTCCTCACCGCTGAACCAACAAAATATCAGAACAAAGCAACGTAGGATGCGGAATCTTGTCCCGGACGGTTTGTCAGGACTATCTGCCTTAAGTTCCTTGTGCTTTGGTAAAGAGCGTTTCATGGTGCATACCGCCGCAAGAACTATGCCCCACCTTTCACAACTAGACAATCTTGATGCAAATGCGACGTGGCTGTAGGAACAGAAGAAGTGGGCACAGCTTCTTCGTTCTGATGCAAGTTATATGCCTCAGTATCTATCTCATGCAAGCCTGCCGCTTCTGAGATATGAGCCTTCACCTCTTGGAAACTCTCTTCCGATAGGGACACCTCCGCAAGGAGTCTCCATGCATAGTCCTCTGATGCATTTTCAAAGTCCTCACGTCTCTTCAGCACTATGTGTCCACTGATCTCCCAGACGGCGGGATTTACTTGAGTTTCCAAAAGTTCTTGGCTCACTTCTCCCTGAGCTTGCTTCTTTGCATAACACTGACCATTGACAGAAAGCACAATCAGATGCGTGATCATTAGACACTTATGATGAAGATAAACAACATTGTTCTTTGGTGACCACCAGACTTTACTGAGAATAACTACAGAGAGTATCGATTGTATCCTCATAGAGAATTAATAACATTTCCTTATACTCGGAATCCAAACTAACTCCTAAAACACAGCTTTCGACTCAAAATTCCCTTCTAGTGTGAGATTCGGTTCCTTACCAGTGTAACTTCATTGGTAAATCGAGAGATCATGGCAAAGAAAGTCAAAATAAATAAGAATTAGTACAGATGGAATGGAAGAGGCACCCATGAACAGCCAAAACTGCACAAATCCTACATCACGCTCAAAGACCTCTATATCAAACCAAGCAGAGCGCATCATAAGATGTGATGTCTTGGAAGACGAGCAATTGCACCTATGAAAAATCAGCCTCGTAAACAAAGATGAGACTCCAAGGACCATGACCAAATGGACCGTGTATGAATCAAACTTCCTACAACAATAGGATCATCTTGAAAGCGCTAGTACTCCAATTTAATTGCACAACGAAATGGCTCATTGACATTAAACTGTCAATCTGTCAGGAAGGAAGAAAATGAAAACTTACCTGTGGAAATAGAAACACTCTTTTGCCGCAATCAGAGATCAGTACATTGAAGGGGATGTTGTTGTGCTGAAGGCGTATGCAGGAATTAGCAACTGCATTTGACAGATCCCGTAAAGTATCTCCACCCTCAAACACAAGTGAACGGACTGGGAATTTCAGGAGTCGTGAAACAACTACATTTCTCTGCACACTCGCAGAAGTCATTACTCTCAGAGAAGGAACCTTTTCAACCGGGAACAGAGAATCCAAGTAATACGCCTGCAATAACAAGAAAAACAGGTAAGGAACACCTACCGGGTGGAATAAAAAGTCAGAATTTCCTTCTATAGAAAAGAAAATTAGATCAACCAGCCAGTCAAAATCATGGATTAAAGTGTGTTCAATTAAGGTTACCTGGAAGTGAAGGTGGTTAATGGTGGCGAATGCACCTAGACTGTTGTAACCCACTCTGAAGAAAGGATCTGCTGCCTCTCTAGCCAAAGACAGAGCCAGAAAGAAGCTTGTGTGGTCGATCCTCTGAGGCAAGCAGTCAAGAATACGGGGTACAAGGAGAACGTGCCCATACTCAATGGGGCTTACCTGAGGAAGTTTAACCACCTTATTCGTCAGCAATTAATGGACATCAATTAAGCCATGCATAATGTTTAGTGTTAAAGAAGCAATGAACTTACGTTGATTGCAACGACATTAAGAGAACTAGGCTTGAAAATGGCTGGTGCACTAGGGAAGAAGTGACTGTAGCAGTCTTCACTTTGTTCAAATATAAAAAGCACTTCCTCTTGGCCAACTTTGGTGAAATTGAACTTCTTCTCATTGAAATCCTGGAGAACTTGATCTACTCGGAACTCAGTCAGGCGTTTTTTGAGGTGACGCCCCTCGTTCAGCTGCGCAATGAAACCATAGTCGCCAGGAATAACTTTTGTCTTGCATGTAGTTACATCGTAGCGAAATAGACCTCGATTCATTCGATTCTCCCACTGTCCAAGTAAGAGATTACGCAGGAAAGATGTCTCAGGTGCTTGGGAAAAGATGGATTCTTCAGCGCAATCTTCTCCACCTACCTTGAATGTGTACAGAGGAAGGTCTGATGCTGCAATTAGCAATTACATAAGGTACAAGCCAATGCAACATTAGAGAAAGTAATGAACCCAACATCCACATCCTCTCTCTCTCTCTCACCACATATAATGCATCTGATATATACACACAAATGTCTTTAATTGAATATACTGCTGCTTTTCGATCCTCTAGGGTATGACGACAGCCATTATTTTTCTCTAATCTTTGATTATTGATTTCTATATTGTCCCTCCTCCAGGCAGTGGGGAGTGATTGAAAATCAAAAAAAGCCGCTGGCCATTGCTATATAAAATATGAACCACTCCAATAAAATAAGGATCAGAAAACCTCCATACGACTTGAAGCTTAATCAAGAGTTTAGCTTCCAGCATACGATATGAGGACAAAAGAAAAAGAAGACAGTCCACTTCAGTTTATCACAATTTCACAATTAGCTTTATACACCAGCAAACAAAAGCTCAAAACCTCATGGTCATAACTTCGCTGGGAAACAAAGATAGCCAAATAAAATGCGTAATTTCCGGTCCCAGTCTGCAAAGCCTAAGAGCTTACCTGGAAATCTTTTCTGGCAAGAAAACTATCTTCGCAGTAGAACAATCAGAACATCAAAGAAATACACCACCAAACATGTTACAAAATAAAAGAGGGTGAATTTATCAAAGCTAATGTACCCCATAACTCCATGGAAGACTCTTTGTGGCATAAAAGAAACATCCAAATCAATCTTCTAATATGCACACAAAACGATAAACGTTTGATAGCTGCAGATCATGAGAAAGGGAAATCATTCGAACGCAACAACAAATTAGTCACGTTCAAATATATGACTACACCGGAAACAATCAGAGACGATGTTCTCGTTATAGACCAAAAGAAAAAGAAAAAAGAAGCGTGTGATCACAGGGGAACGTACAAGGCAAACAGCACTTTCCCAGGCAATTGCGACCACATCCCTTGGCTTCTTCCCCTTCAACAGCAACAGCAGCATTATCCTTCTCGCCACCCTCCTCCTGATAATTCGACACCACCGTGGCGACCCTCTTGATAGTCAACATCTTCTTGTCGTCCTAACCAAGGCGTATCGACACACGCAAACGTGCGTGTGTTGCAGCACGACAGCTACCCGTGAAAACAAAGGGTGTCCCCCGGGATCCGCTGCCAGATCAGGGTCGGTTTCGCTCCGGTTTCTTGTCCCTGTCACGGTGAATTCGGAGAGTTCCTGTCGGAGTTCACGTCCGTCGTGGAAACGCCGCTTTTTGCCAAACAAGATACCCGGATTCCTCTAGATTCCTTCCGGTGATTCTGCTTCTCTTTCTCTCTCTCTTTCTTGAGGCGGCAATATAGGGAGGAGGGAGTCTGTATTTATAGGTTGGCGAAGCGAACTCTTCCAGACGTGGATTTCTGAAAGTCAAACGGAGATGTGACCCCTCCGATTCATTCGTATCCAACGGCTGCGAAGCGCTTTGACTTTTTTAAAGGAGATCGCGCCGCTCCATTCCTTGTTACGCCGTATGTGCTCAACCCCCCCAGGTAATACTATTAGCTGCGTCGTAGCACAAAGGCAGCAGTAAATGTGATCCCCTGGATCTCTTGGGAACCGCACGTGAGATCCGTACGATCCAATAGTTAATATGCATTGAGCCCATCGTACCGGTTCACCAAATAACTTCTCCAAATCCTTCTCCGCCCTATCGATTTTGGCCTGTCAATGTCTTATTTCGAATATTAGAGGTGAGAACAAAATTCGAACAAAAAGAGCTTATTGCATGGAAAATTCTATAAGAAGTTACTTGCGAGCATCATTACTCGGATGTTACCATGAATTCATACGAAGAAATGATCAAAAGGGTTGTATTTGCTGGACTATTGGGGGTTCTCATAACGAACGACTACTTTATATAACGGATTCGCTACAATGGACAATTTAATGACATGAGAACGGGTAACACAAACACAATACTAAAGTCGAAGGATCTTGGTTGGGGCTATCGTTTACTGGTCGATCTTGTGTGTACTACGTGTTGTGTTCATGTTATACAAGTTGTTACGTGTCAGCTGTTAATTTTCAAATCGTGCTCGTGCTCATGCTATGTAGGCAGCGAGCTTTCGAGCTGACCTTTAGTGGTATAGCCTTATAACATAACTTAGGAACACGAATTGTTGGTAGCTAGCACAAGCTTAACTCGTTATTGCCGAGATAATAGAGCCACTTTGAGGTTGCCCATCAAATGAAGCACGGAAAGAAACCACTGCGAAAGAGCTTCAGGAGTTTCGAAAAGAAAACTCGGACCTCATATTGGTAATGATTTGAGAATAAGGATTGGAACAACTTTCATTTATTTTTTTGCTTTTGTTTTTCCAATTCTTGCAGGAACACATTTTGGTCCTTCTTTTCAATATTGAGGCTCCGTTTATTTCAAGAAAAATGGATAATTTAAAAAATATTTTGCTAAAGATGATCTCTTGTATTGCATTGTCAATGAAAAATATTTTCATTATCGACAAAAATTTATGTCTAGATATTTTCGTGGACGATAAAAGTATTTTTAGTTCATTTATTTTTATAAGCGATACAAGCGATTATTTTTTGTAAAATGTTTTCCAAATATTCATTTTCCGTGAAACAAACAAAACATAGCAGTTGAAACATATGCAACAATAAATGTGGACCTGTAAATTTTAGAATGTAATTTTTTTGTAATTTTTTTAAATTGATTTTTTGTGTGTTTTTTTTATTTTTATGAAAATTTAACCTTTTTTTGTCAAAGAATTTTCACGGACCACTCGCTTATTGTCGGATTTTTTAAGTGGATAAAACTACAAGATCTTTTTTTGTATTTTCATCCTTTACATTCACTATTCATATATCAATAATGAGTCATCGATTAGAACCTTTGATTACATCAGCTCGGCAAAGTACAAAGGTAGTTGAAGAAAATCATACTTTTTTTGCTAGAAGAAGAAAATCGTACTTATTTGAGAAGTAGTTGTGTATGTATTTATGTCATTGAAGAAAATCAAGCAACAATTACAAATGCTTTCATCAAGCCATTTACCCCATTCTAGAGTGAGAAAATAAGTTTTCCTTGTCAGCTGATGATATTATCGAATTATAACTGTTAAAGTATCGCTTCTCTACGGTGTTTATATGCTTTTAATTGTACATGTGATCTCCCTGTATCTATCGATTTAAACTTTTGGGTTAGACACTCTAATATGGTATTAGAGTCGCGAGTTCTTTATATATAGGGAAAAAGCCACAAAAAACCCTAAACTATATCCACTGTGACACATATAGCCTGAACTTTTTTTTTTGTGACATAAAAAATTCCACAGTATGCCCACCGGGCCACAATTTACCCTAATCTTTTTCTGTGACACCAAAAACCCCAAACTTGTACCTATATGACACAATCATTCTCCGTCAAGGTTCCGTTAGATGATTCTTTAACCAAAACAACGTTGTTTATATTTGTGACATTCTGAATTTTCGACTCATTTTGAAGCCTATGAATGAATAAAATGTCGATCGATGTATTTCAGTAATTCTCGCTCAGAATTGATAACTCTTGAGTTAACTAACCAAAAGGGAATGGCTAGCAAGAAATTAGTACGTGGACTAAAGAATTCGATTGTGGATTAACGGCTTGACTATAAAGATTGTTGAGGGAATATCTCGAGTTATTAGAGGCCGATCTAAGATTTGGTTTGAGAATGATTTGCTAGAGTTCTATGATTGGTTCGCAGGTGATCCCGTTTAACCATAGTGTAATTTGCGAATGTTGACACCTAAATTTTGACAAATTATTTAGCGATTAATTGCATAGAAAATTAGGGATTAAATTTTAACCCCTAAACAAAAATATCAAAATCGCATAGCATATAGTTTAGGATCATATAGTTTAATTGCATTCAACATCGGACCGGCGGCAGTGAGTAAGTTGAAAATCCATTGCATAAATCAAGCTCGAGTACCGAACAAAGCTCGTCTCACTCGGAAGACAGGGGCCGAAAATCACAAGTCTAAAAGGCCTTGGTTGTCTTAATTTGAGCTTAAATCAGCCCATCAAACTTAATTAGAGAAAAGCCCATATTAATTCCGCCCATTTGGAATTAAATAAAAATTAAAGGATAAAAGCCTAAGCCTAAGCCCATTAGGACTAGGAAGCCCGGCCATTTAACTTAGGGTTGCGATATAAATATGTGATTATACCCCTCAATCAAGGGGATCTCTGATAATTTTCAGAACACAATTCCTGAGAGTACAAGAGAGTTAGAGCGAAAAAGAGAGAGAGAGAGCTTGGCCTGATCCTCCACGGCCAAGCCCCCATCCTTTCGCAGCCAGACCTGTGGCCGTACCCCTCGACGACTCGCCGCTATTTTCCTCTCGCTAGACCATAAACAATCCCGGCAAGTTCCTCAACTTAGTCCCTGAAGGTTGCTGATTTCCTGCTAACGTTACCGCGGTTTCGCGGTACGCTATCCAACCCGGTCTCCATCAACACCAGCGAGACATTCAAGAGCCGAGAGTTCCAGCACCTGCTCAAAAAAAAAAATTCAAAAGAAAATAACACAGAGAGAGGGTCAAGTGGTGAAAATCTGGTGAAAAGGGAGGACTTTGACCACCGCTTGAAGAGAAGAATCCTTGCTGAGACCAACAGGTGGCCTTGAGGAGAAAAAGAAACATTCGGCAAGCCCAGCTCCAACGAAGCACCATCGTTTGCGTTGATTCGGTGACGTCCTCAGCAAGCTCTCCGTTGCGTCCTCCGTATTTTTATCGTGATTTGTAGCCGCTTTGCTGGTGCTAGACGAGCCATCCTCACTGCAGCGATCCCCGACGTCGACGCCGCCACTGCTGTGCCAAGCCAACGTCCTTGTTGCTGCTGTACCGCCCACGACAAGCCGAGCTGCTGCCGCTCGACCTGTCGAGCCGACGCCGCTCGGCCCGCCGAACCGACGCCGCTGCCGTTGTGGTGTCCATGAGTCCAGATTAGCCGAGCTGCCACATCCGCAGGTCACCACCATCGCCGCCGGTCCACCCGCCGTCGGTCATCCCGATCCGTAATCCTGATCCGCGAGTTCAAATTTGGAAATATCCCGAAATTAGGTAAGAACGTTATCTAATACTTTCAAAATATTTGGTTTCCTAGTTTTTCGATATTTCAAATATTTTGGTGAATATTTTGGTGGATAGCTAGATATTTTAGGATAATTTTGTGATATCCGCAGCATTCGAAAATACCCAAAATTAGGAATTATTCCTAATTTCGGCAACGTATCTGGACGACTATCCGACCTAATCCCTAAGGTATAATATGCGGCGATACAGAAAAATCATTATCTTATTCATAATCACTTGGATGTGATAACAGATTTTATCTGCTTTCCAAATTCGAACAATCGGCTTTCCGTTGATATCTATAGCCCTATAGATATGACCGCTAGTTTGATTTCCTTTCCTAATCCAAATTTGATAAGAAGAATCTTGTGGATTGCGTGGATTGTTTGAGTGCGGTTGTTATCTTTATTTGATTGCTTTCTTTTTTAAATAAAGAAAATCCAAAAATAAGTTAGTTAGAATTTAAATTAAAAGTTTGCATGCTTAAAGAATCCTAAATATATCCAAGAGAGTAAGATAATTATTTGATTTAAATTGGGATTTAGAGTAGCATATTTCCTAGTTTAAATTAGAAATTGTTTTAATCTTTGTGGATTATGTAGGATATTTAGATTTCGAATTTCCATGAAAATCCCAAAAAAAAAATAAGTCACTTTAGGATAGATTAAGATAGATTGCATGTTAATTTAGACATTTGTTTTGTTCCGAATTTTATGAAAAATACAAAAAATAAATCATTTGTCCGTCATTAGAATTAGGTCACGTCGTCGCATGACATATAGTTCACATGTTAGGTTGCATTAATCGCATGTCATTTTTGCACGTCATTGCATATAGGTTAGTTTGCATTTTAATAAAGCGCAAATCTTAAAGAACACCTTGAGTGCCTTGCTTTGTTAATTAGAAATCATATTAGGATTGTCTGTGTGATTTTCT